GCATGGTGTGTCAACACACACACTGGGAACTGCTCAGGGTGTGTGCACAGAGCCAGGACGGATTGAAGTTCGTGATGCAACCAACTCGTGGAGCGGTGCCAGGAACGTAGATTCATTGTGTGTTTGATTTTGAATTTGTTTTTGGTTCAGAAACCTTTTACTGTTGTCAGATTTTTCTCTGCCTCCATATTCAATTAAAAGACTCCCCAGTTTTTGTTTGTCTGTTTAAGAAGCTAGAGTGTTTATAGCTCTCCAAGGAGAGCTAAGCTGTGCTGTCTACGACACACAGATCAGACAGGATGTGCCTAGCCATACACACTACTCTAGTTTTCTACCGTGGTTCTGAAAGGGGGCCCAAAGGCTGGCCATTAGCCTTCCAGCCCCCCAGTGTGGCCTTTTTGAGAAGGCAGCTACTTATGCCAGGGAGGGAGAAAAGAGTAAGCAGCTGACACTCAGGGCTACGAGCCGGGGATCAGACCCCACTAACAAGGATGGGGTCAGCCTCATTTTCTACTAGAAAAACAATGGTCACAGTATCACAGGTACTAGCTGCCAAAGGAAATCTAAAAAGAATAACCACATTATTGGGTATTTTTAGTTGTTTTTTTTTTTTTTCATAAATGTTTTTTGTCACTGCTCCTAAATAATTCCACATCTTACCATGTTTGCCAAAAAGAAGAAACACGGCAGAGGATACCGCTCAGTTAGAGGAATATGCCTTTGTGACTCCTGCTGACACAAGCCCAATGCATTAAGACTGTAAACAGTCATGCAGGCAAGGTGTACATTGCAAATGGCTTACAGCAGGCAAAGCTGCTGCTGGGGGCTGCCTCTGCGGTCAAGAGCACCAGCTGCTCTTTCAGAGGACCTAAGTTCAAATTCCCGGCACCCACACAGCGGTTCATAGCTATCTCTAGCTCCAGTTCCAGGCGCCAGGTACATATGTAATACACAGACACTTGCAAGCAAAATAACTATACACAAAAAATAAAATACTTTTTAAAAATAGACGGCTGGTGGAAATACTTGTATTCAGTTATACAGGGTTAAATTTGGTAGAGTTAAAATACTGCTGACAGTATGAACCACACTATTCTTTGGCCCAAGTGCACAACCTCCAAAACTTCCAGAAGAAACACTAACAAAGGGAGCGCAGAGGCTAAAGAGAGGGCCCAGAGCTTAAGAGCACTGGCTGCTCTTCCAGAGGACCCAGGTTCAGCGCCCAGCACCCACGTGACAGCTTGCAACTGTCTGTATGTAACTCCAGTCCCAGGAAACCCAATGCCTTCTGACCTCCATGGGCATTGTATATACACAGTGCAGACATACACAGAGCAGGAAAAGCACCCATACACATACAATTTTAAACAACAACATAATAATAATAAAATTGAGAGGGTAACACGCTACTCTCGAGCTGTCTAATAAAGCACAGCAGACAGTCACAAAAGGCAAACTGCAGGCTTACGTGGCATACTGAAGGCTTATTTAACAAATACTTCACAAAAGGCAAACTGAAGGCTTACGTGGCATACTGGGGGCTTATTTAACAAATACTTCAGTATTAACTTTTTAGAGCTAGTGTAGACAAAGTCCCTTCACGTTCCTCGAGGCGTCGGGGCTGTTCTATTTCTAAAGCAGAAACAGTGTCCCTTGTTCTATTTACTCCCAAAAGCTTTGGAAGAAAGGTGATTTCCCCTCGGCTGGGAGGGAAGACAGAGTGCTTGCCTACAGTGCACCAGGCCCTGGCTGGGGTTTGATTCCCAGCACCCCAGAAAACGCAGGTGGAGACAGGAGGATCAAGAAGTTCAAGGTCATCCTTTAGCTACATAGAGTTTAAGACCGGCTTGGGACTATTTAAAAAAAAAAAAAAGCCACATCTAAGTTTAGCAGGTTATATTAATAGTTGTTTTTAGGCTGTGAATATGTCCTAGATTTATGAGCAGTTTGATTTTAGTAACTACAGAACTGTGGACGTTTCTGGTTCAGCTTAAAACTAAGAATAGGTGGATCCTCTGAAGTGTTTGTGAGTCCACAAACACGAACTGAGCATTATAATGACATTATGTACAAGAAAGAGTCAAAACTGCAAGAAACTCTTAATATATACACATCCATATTTACAAGGGACAATGGCATTTTAAGTCATCCTTTTGTAAGAAAATGAAAGCTGAATTAGAAGACCCAAGCTCCAGCCCTTCTCGTCATTAAATATAAGGCCTCACATACCACTCAGTGGCTTCTCCTCTCCTGACATCAGTGCTTCAGAGGGTTCTTAGAAGAACCATGAGGTGACACATTTGAAAGCGGTGAAGAGCCAAGTATTACTAAGCCAGGAAAGCATTCATTCATTCATTCATTCATTCAACCACTTTTCACTGAGCACGCAGAGCCAAGCACTGGCTCAGGCCAGAAGAAACAGCCCTAAAAGGCTCCCCCCACCACCACTCTCCAATCAGGTCTTCAGCCCTTTTCCTTTTTTAAACTAACAGGGTACAAAATTAAACAAGAAAAGGAACACCATCTTCTTTATGTCTCTTTTTGTTATCATCAGGGATGGAAAGCAGTTGGATAATGTTTCCTTGCCTGGAAGAGAAGAAAAATGCCTACCCCTTCCTCCCCAACACATTCCCTTCTCCTCATCCTGTATTCACCAGAGACTTTTTGGTTTCTTTGAATATTTGCAAGAATTCCAGAAACCATACTTCCTAGCTTTTCCAGCAGGTGGTACAACATAAGGGAGGGGAAAAAAAAATCACTGCTTTCGAGAATAGATCCTTATGGCACCAGCTCTCCCCACCTTTTGGGGGAGAGGTAAAGGCACTCTGTAAGAAGTGTTTATCTTACCCCACAATCATAAGCATATCAAAGTGAAGAAGTGTTATCTGACCCAACCCAAAAGACATGTTCTTCCACAGTGCATTGCTTTGTGGGTTTGACTTCCTCGTTCACAAACACATAATCAGGAAGTTAAGATGCAGTCACTTCTGTAAATAAAACAAAATGCCTACTGAAATGCAGGGTTCAGACAGGCGTGGTGGCACAGACAAGCAAGCAAAGAAAGCAAAGGCAGGCTATCTTTGGAGCCTGAGGACTGCCCTGGCCTACAATAATGAGTTCCAGGACAGCTAAGGCTATGTAGAGAGACCCTGTCTCAAAAATAGATAGATAGATAGATAGATAGATAGATAGATAGATAGATAGATAGCTGCACAAGTCCAGGTTTCAAAACCCCTTTCACCAAGAACCTGTTCTTTAACTGACAAACTCCCACAACTTAGCACCTCCCATGTGCTACCCAGGTAGAAATAAAGAGGCAATGGAGCCTCAAAATACACAGAGAACTCCTCAACCCTCAAGCCCTTACTGCCCTGATTCTCAACAAAGTCTCCCATAATCGTGTTACTGCTCAAACTAGCAACATTGCGAGGTATAGGCAGTCATGAACATAAACAGAATTAGATGACTACAAAATAAGTGAAGGCATATAATCTAGACTCCCTAAATGTATATAAACCTGGAAAGAAATGCTGCATAGAGCGTGTGAGTGTGTATGTGTCTGGGTTTTGGATGATGACCTTGAACTGCTCACACACTGTAAACCACAACCACCCAGACTATGCACTGAGTACCAGGCAAGCTAAGCTCTCTACAGAGAAAAGCCATTTCTCCCTGACCCACAGAGGGGAGGCCAGGCAGGGAGTACCTTTGAGTTCCAAACTCAGCCATTAGCACAGTCTACTGAAAATAAAAGATCGCCCTAGTAAACAGAGCAAACTTAAGTCTGAGGCTAACACCAGACACCACGACCTCTAGCCCTTCACTAGGAGATTAGCCGTTAGGAATAGGGTACTTGACTTCATTCTTGCCTTTCACCACCCTCCTCCTTCTCCTCCTCCCTCCTAGTTTGGAAATTTATTAGATCAAAAAAGACTAGAACTTCCAAATCTTATAAAGAAATTGTTTCTAAAGTGGCCTATTAAACTTAAAAGGGTTGGCAAGGACAACCTGGGCAGAGTTCCTCTCCACCAAAAACCCCCATCACTGGGGCCCTGAACGATTGGTTTCTCTCTCTCTCTCTCTCTCTCTCTCTCTTTCTCTCTCTCTCTCTCTCTCTCTCTCTCTCTCTCTCTCTCTCTCTCTCTCTCTTTCATCTCCAGAGCTGATAGAAACCTCTGGTGGGCGCCTGTGGTCAGTTTTAGGTGCAACAAGTTTGTTCCAGTTACAGCCCCTAAACCTGGTGAGAGCGTGGCTGGGCCGATTAAACTCCCTGGTGCGGCTTCCAGGGCCAGAAGGCCACGGGTTCAAGCGCCGACCTTAGGAAGTCGGGCCAAAGTGCCCCGCTTGGAAGACTTCCCTAAAAAAAAATAATCACTGTGAAAATCTGCGAAACTGGCACAAGTTCCCGTTCTGCCTTTTCCCAAGCCACGCTTCCCACGGCACCCTTCCTCCAAAAAAGGAAGAAACCGGCGTAAGGCTCAGCCCTCTGGAGCTAAGTCTACCTGGGACGTCCGCAGAACCCGCAAAATGAACCTGACGAGAAACGCCAGTCCCGCGACCCGGACTTTGAGAGCGCGCAAACGATCGGCCTGCCCCTTCAGCCCCCGCCTGCCCTTCCTGGGGGCTTCTCGGTCACTCCGGGTCACTGCGTGCCCTCAAGCCATTCACGGCCATCGAGCAAACTGCAGCCAGGACGGCGCGGTGACCCGACCGTTGCCCCTCAAGGGCTGCCGAAGGGGCCATCCCGAGTGGCCTGGGGACCTCCTGGCTCCCGGAGCTGCTCCTACAGCCCCAAGCAGAGTGGCCCAGGCCATCTGGCTCCGCGCCCTTCCACCTCCTTCCCTCGCCGCGGGCGCCCCACGCCCACTGCACAGGCTTCCAGCGCCTTTCAGGATCCCCAAAGGGCAAAGGCCACTCTGGGCACCCCCGCTGGCCGCGGGCGAGCATCGCCCAGCGCGGGCGCAGACACGTGGAGCCGGGACCCCGAGCACGCCACTCACCGGCTGACCCGAACGGGACTTGCCCGGGGGCGCTCTCCTGAAGAAGGAGGTCCTGGCGGTGAAGAAAAAGTCCTCCGCGTCCTCCTCGAGGCTGCTGTAGCCGCTGCTCATGCTGCTGGTCCCGTCGCGCGCAGGGGGCCTCCCCGGGGCGCAGGCGGCCAAGCCGGGGTGCGGCGCCCGCCCGCCCGCCCCGTGAGCTTCCCGGCGCGCGGCACCGAGCCGCCGGCGGGCCGTCCTGCTGCAGCTGCGGCCGCCGCTCAAGCCGCCGTCTGGTCTCCTCCCGCGGCCTCCTCCTCCCTCGCCAGGAGCCTCCCCAGCCACGGTGCGCCTCGGCCCCGCCCCCTCTCTGCCCCGCCCCCGCCAGCCAAGGGCCCACCAAGCCCAGCCCCACCACAGGCCCCGCCCCCTGGCCAGCCAAAGCTCCGCCCAGGCCCCGCCCCCATCGGCCGCTGCTGCTGCTGCTGCTGCTGCTACTGAGCCCCACTCCGGTGGGGCCCCGCCCTCCCCCGCCTAGCCACGCCCCTCCGGCCTAGCACTGCTGCCGGCTGCAAGATAAGTTGGATTGGCGTGCTGCCCCTGTGCTCTGGAGGGTTTCACCGTCCTCCCGGAAATTACAGCTTCATCCGTGACCCGCCTGTCCCCCGCCGAAGTTTCGGAGAGGGCGGGAATATAAGAGAGAACTTTTACACTCTCGCCGTCGGGCTCGTCCGTGGTGGAAACGGCGTCCGCCGAGGGAGGGGGACGACCCACGGGGCGGGCAGCTTGTTCCTCCCTGACCGTTACAAGCTCAGCAGAGGTGGGTGGGGAGAGAGCAACTGGGCTGTGCTTATTTGAAAGAAAACATCCTTCCTGGTTGCTCTTTCGAACTTCGGTCGTAAGGCTTTCCCGCCTCCCAGTGGCCAAAGCGCATCCCAAGTGTGGATGGCTAAAGCAGCTGACTTTGACCCAGCAATCCAGTACTGTTAATAAAATGAACCTTGTAAATGTCGCCTTCCACGGTCACCTGCGAGGGACGATTTACACCGTGGGTGCCAGCAGATTAGACCACTCTGTTGACCCACACCCCAAAGAGCAAGGGGGTTCCCTTTGAGACAAAAATAAAAATAAAAATGTCCTTTCAATCAGCTAAACTTTTGAAATGCCACGTTTTCTTTGCTTCGGATCACCTGAGGTCGTCTTCACCTTGTTGTAATGGGGTTAACTTTAAACCGTACTAACTTCCTTGCAGGAGACCTTAATTGGAAAGAGGTTTTGAAGCTTTCAGGCTGTTGTGGCATGCATGCTGCGGCAGAGGGCTCTAAAAAAAAAAAAAAAAACAAACAGCCAGGTAGCAATACACCCTCAGAGCTGGGACCGCTGCTTCTGAGGCGCGGGAGGGTTTTGTTATAACCCTTTCTGGGATCAGGACTGGGAGGGTAATCTTCCCTTGAGAACCAGGAGGAGGGAAAGCTAGACTTGAAAGGAGACTAAGAGGAGGAAAAGAAACGGTTCAAGCGCCGTCCCTTCTACCCTCAGGCGGAAAGGAGACCAGCTGATCTGCCCTTCTGCCTTCCTCCAGGCTTACTCACATGTCCAGTTTACAAAATAGTCTTTCACTCCAGGGAACTCAACCCCAGAGGGACTGTACAGTCACGGCCTATTTTAATGTTCCTACGTTAAAAATCTTCCCAGCCTCAGAGCAACTGGCTGACTGGAAAGCAGAGTGTCTAGCTTTGGGTCTAACCTGTGTACCTCCTGCACAGCCAAACCTAAGAGAAGAGGACATTCTCTTGATGAAAGCATGTCTTCTTTGACTCTTACTGCTACACACCATTCAAATGTTACCGTATTGAAACAATAGGATCTTCATTAAATACTCCAATTTGAGTAATGGGTGGGTTAAATGATTTAACAAATTTGTTTTATTATAGGTGGAAGTGTCTCTTATTCAGTGTATATGTATAAACATCACATTTATTCAGTATAAAATACTCCATCTATGACTGCTTTGAGAAAAAATATACTTAAAACGCCTTATAACCCACCACACCAGGAAAAAAAAAATGCCTTGAGCCTAGTGTGTTGGCATTGCTGCGTACCTTTAATCCCAGCATTCAAGAGGCAGGGGCAGGCAGATTTCTGAGTTCAAGGTCAGCCCTGGTTGATCTACATAGCAAGTTCCATATGTCACCTAGAGTACATAGACCCTGTCTAAAAACAAAAACAGAAAAGACTTTTCATATTATCTTTAAGGGAAAATGGCTGATTTCATCAAAATCACTTGGGATTGTTACTTTTTAATTTAAAAAAATTATTAGCATGTGGGAGTGTGTGTGTGTATGTGTGTGTGCGTGCGCACGTGTGTGTAGGCACTCCTGCCGTGGCGTGCCTATGGAAGAAGGAAGACAAGTCTGTGGTGTCAGTTTTCACCTTCCACCTTTACCCTGGTCCTGGGGGGTTGAACTCGGGTGGCTAGGCTTGTAGCACAGGCATGTTTTACTGGCTGAGCCAACTCATTGGCCTCATAAGAATGACTTGTTTAAAAAAAAAAAAAAAAAGGCATGACTGGGGTGAGGAGTAGCCTAGGTGGAACACCTGTACAAACAGGCCGTAAGGTTCTATTGCCCAGCCCTGGAGATTTAAAAAAAAAAAAAAAAAAAAAAAAAAACAGTGTGATTCACCAGCAGTGGTGGCACATGCCTTTAATCCCAGCACTTGGGAGGCAGAGGCAGGCAGATCTCTATGAGTTTCGGGCCAGCGTGGTCTACAGAGTGAGTTCCAGGACAGCCAAGGCTACACAGAGAAACCCTGTCTTGAAATAAAAAAAAAGAAAAAGAAGAAAAGAAAAAACACATATGATTTGATGACAAAGGCACTACTTGCAGGTTGTAAGAAACAAAAAGTAAAAACTGCATAATTACCATATTTCTATATTTTTCACATAGCATTTTAAATGAAAGCTGAGTCTAAGATTTGCCTCACGGAATTAGAAATTGTGAAAACTCAAAATGCCTTGTTAAGCAGTTAGACAGTTTTACCATTTAAAATTCAAGGAAGGGATAGAACAAATAAAATGGACTCGGGCAAGCTGGGTTTTGAAAGGATGTACTGTGGAACACAGAACTGAACTTGTAACTGGACTGAATCAGCGTGCGCTTCCCGATGACCTGGAAGCCCGTTGGTTTAGCCTCCCCCCAATGCTGCTAACCTCGTTTCCATGAGAACTGGGGAACATGCTGAAAGGTTAGCAAATGTGCAAAGTAGCCTTGTCAGAGCGAGGAGGAAAGTACTCGGCCCTGTCCTAAGGAGCTAGCCCTGTACATGTGTACGAGAAATGCCTTTCGGGCAGTGGGAGGAGCATGTGACAGTCCTGTGGCAGGAGTGTGCTTCGAATATCCAAACAAGAGCAAGGAGATCCGGGTTTCCCCGACCATGCAAGTCGAGGGCTGAGTGCTGGGAACTTCTGTCAGAAGAGTGACAGAAGGGCCATAACAGAGGAAGCTCAGTGTCAGACCACTTTCCCAGCATTTGCAAAGTCCTGGGTTCAATCCCCAGCACTGGATGGAGTAAAAACATAACCACAGAAAAGTCACTACTCTCTAATGGTTTCGTTTCCTACCAGAGATTTTGAGCAAAAGGTGATAATACTTGACTTACCTTTATAAAGTTCTCATTTAATAACTGACCAGAGAATAGAGCTAAATGATATGAAAACTCAAACAAATAAAATGAGGAGAGCCATTTTTTTTTTTTTAAACTCATGAAATCAGCCAGCATTTTGTAAGGCAGGTCATGAAACAGCATGTGTGACACAATCACATTTATGTACCTGTAATTTCGGGTGACAGTCCTTACTGTATGCTAAGGCATAAGATAAATGATCACAGAGATTTATCCTAAAGGTCACACTGATCAAAGACTGTAACACTAGTGGCTGTGTGGCATGGAAGAGGCCTGGCCTTGTCGGACAGGCAGACGAGTGTTGACAGGACAACACTCTTGCTTATTCTTTTTGTTTCATTTTATTTTGTATTTTATGTGTACGGATATTTTGCCTACGGGTATGTCTGTGCCCTATGTGTGTGCCTGGTGCCCATGGAGGGCGGATGAGGAAGTCAGATCCCCCAGAACTGGAGTTACAGCAAATGTGAGCTAACATGTGGATGCTGGGATTTGAACCCAATCTAGGTTCTCTGTAGCCTGTGCTCTTAACTGCTAAACCATCTCTCCAGTCCCTGTTGCTTATTCTTTTATGATTCCCCTCCCCCACAAACAGACACTGACTTGGGACAGGGTCTTACCATGTAGGCCTGGAACTTATATATAGCTATGTAGACCAGGTTGGCCTCGAACTTATGGAGGTCCATCTGCCCTGCCTTCTGAGTACTGGAATTAAAGGTACACTACCATGCTCTTGTGTGACTTTTAATGTTTTAGGTAGCTTCTCTGTAACACAGGTTTGTCTTTAGTAAAATGGGAATAACAATGCTCCCATTTTATTCTCTTTGGCTTACTATAAGGATTAAGTCGGGGGGGAAAAAAATCTCATAAAGCCCTTGCCATAGAATGAAGCCAGACAAATACAAGTCTTTTTACCCTAAATATTAGACCCTGATGGATACTCACATCTTTTACTCCCCCCCCCTTTTTTTTTGATCACTAAACATTTTAGCCCAAGCATTGTCCTTGGATAAAAGGTTCAGCCACAGCTCAGAGTTAGCTGTGGTTGGCTCCCCCTACCACAGACAGCTTTCAGTGTGGGTGGATTTCACAGAGCCAGCTATTGAGACACTAACTATGGAGAGAGATCTTGCTGGGTAGCTTTCGGGAACCATTTCATCGCCTTGAGAAAAGACACCCCTCTGACTCCGCATGCTCAATGTGGCACCTTGGAATTCTGGAGCCAAATTATGGACATAAATGACGCCCTGAACCTGGCAAAGCTGAATAATTATAGGGACTCCTTGGGTCTTTGAATTAACGAGCTTTGACACTATCCTGCTTAGGACTTGTTATGTGAGACAATATGTTTTCTTAGCCTGGCATAGTAGCACTCATCCAGCTACTGCAAAGGCCTTGAGGCAGGAGGATTGCTTAAGCTCAGGCATTTAAGGTCGGATCGGTAATGAGAATCCCATCTCAACATAAATAAGCAATGGTGTGCTAAAATTTCTCTTAAAAACTCTAAGAGATGCTTCAGCAGTCAGGGACACTTTCTGCTCTTGCAAGGATACAATTTGTAAACCCAGCTTGTCTGCCAA